AATACTTACTCGTATGATGTAAGACTCTTATGCGTTCTGATGCACAGTTCCATGTATACTAGTGATAGAGTAACGAGTCAGACGTGCTTGCATGCCATATTCATAAAAAGTCATTGTATTATCTCGTATCAATTTCTTCAAATTTAGGTAAATCTAATAGATGCAAGCAAAGAATCTCATAGTAATTGTAAAACCACTTAGCCAAGGCCTCAAGGTACCTATTTAACCTTAATTAAGCAATTCGACCAGTTCTTAATAAAATATTTAACATGTCAAAACTACGATTCGTCTCCAGCCATCACAATCAAAGAAACACGATTATAGCCCCAGCGGAAAATATAAATTTCAAGTCTTGCTCCCTTAACTCTAAGAGTATAGAATAAGATTAATTCTTCTTTAATAATGCCTGTTATGAACTACATTTGAGGAAATATTCCACAAAATATTGTGAGCATACCGTCTCAACTATAATTTTGAACCTACCTGTTATATATAAGAAGTTGGGCAGAATGAATAGCATGAGGAGGTCCGGTAATGGTAATTCTTCTATCTGAAAGTCCATCTTCACCACTCGATATTTTAATGCTCGCTTGAGATGCCTGAAATGTAATATTAAAAATATATTATTATGTCAGATAGAGTACAATCTTTTTATTTTATGCGTCATATATGGCTTAGTATATTGAAATAATATAGCATACACGTAAAAAAACAAGGAATAATGTCCTATCATATAAATTTTTTTTATCGGAATAAATAAATACTATTTTATTAATCTTTACATAAATATAGCTTTGGTCCACTTGATTCACTACTATGATCGATTGACTACTACAAAACAGCTGGAGTGAGAAGAGGAATTTCATGAAAATTCTAAAATGGCCATCATAATAGATCTATGGAGACTAGAGCTCTTTGTGTCAAACTTTAAATTCTTTAGAAGGCAAATCAATTCAGCGTGCATCGCCGATTGTTTGATTAATAGGAGCTTTCCGTATTCAAGCCCTCGCTTTCACTGAATTGTTTGCTCGATTCCAAAAATTTAGCTTTGAATCGAAATTATCCATTCTACATCAGATGTACTAATCGGATATAAGTTTAAATACAAGTGTCATATCAAGGATATGAAGAACCCAAAATAACGCTAGATGCACTAAGGGTGGTCAAAAAACATAATGACAAATTTTTTATATGAGATGTATTCACCCTATTTCGTTTAAGGTGATGAAGGACTGGTAGAAGTAGAATTTTCCCACAATGATATTAATAGAGCTGACGCTTCTATTGAATTTCACAGAACCTTGTTTTCCCAAAAGTTGTTCTCATTCAGGGTGGACTGCAGTTTCTACCTCGCATAGATCTTATCAACACCCCCAGCGGGAGTCAAACCGTGACAGTGGAGAATGTGAGCTTGACACTTTAACCACTCGGCCACATTGCCACAAGCGCCCTTAGGTCACAGGGCAGATGTGAATTTCAAGGAAAGCCAGGCCTTTTGTCATATTACATTTTAATATCATGGTGGAAAAGTTCTACTACCAGTCCTTTATCGCCTTAAATGACATAGGGTGAATACATCTCATATTACTGATTTACTGGTAGTTTGAAACTCTGCTTATATACGAAAAATAAGTTCGGTATAAAATTACCATATATGTTGGCAAGACTTTAGCGGTCATCAAATAAGCGAATAAGCAATGAGTGCTGATATTTAGGAAACTACAGGGCTCGTATAAAATGTGATGAATTATATATTAGCATAAAATATACATTTTTGAATTTCTTGAGGTAAGAACTGAAAAAAATGTACACATATATATAAATAAAATGCCAGTTCTAAACTTTTACATAGTATAGCTTGAGATAACGGATCTTATGTTTTTATGCTATGAGAGGCGATAATTAATCCTCTGCTTATCGTATTCATAAGCTAAAACTCTTTCTTAAATCCATAAATTAATATATAGCCTAAATCTTTGGCCAACTCTGGCATAATTTCCCTTAAGCAAGCAATAATAATTGTAAAATTTATCTTTAAAGAAGTATATCTTATGTTGTTAAATGGAATCGACAAAGAATCATATTTATTTGCTGCCTTATAATAGGTGGAACCAATTTGCTTCATTCAATAACCGTTGTGATTCAAACATACCTGTACTTATCTATTTCCAATGTTGACAAATCTGCCCTACTCTTTTTTGTATTACTTCTAAAGTACAGACAGCGAAACAACAGGCTTAACTTCGACTTTACGAATCATTGTGTAATGAAATTGAAGGGATGACAATGATCATTCTTAAACGCTTTTATTTATCTCTATCCCCGGATATTACTAGGTCCGTCAAAAACAAAAGTGAAACTTTCCACTAATTACTTATAATGGAGGATATTTTGTTAAGGCTTTATGGGCTTACATCAACTATAATGTAAATTTCATTAACGAGCATATTATATAGGCATACTTAGATTCTTGATCATATCTGCCTATGTATTACCTCTACCTGAGTATCGTGCTAATTTCCTAGTATACAGAACGGAAATTATGTCTTAAAATTTCAACGTAAATTATTACACTTATAGGGTATCAAAGAATCGGAACACTGTTACACTTACCTGACCTAAGTTGCATTCTAGCTAGGAAGCGACGAAAAATTTCCAGCAGATGGAAAAATATAAAATAGAAACGAGGATATGAATCGTATAAAATAATTTTCAGGTTCTAGAAATTCATACTTAAATTAAAGTGTATTTAAAACTACTAATTTCTTAATTTACACATTTTCTATATCATTTCCTATTATTTCCATTATTGCTAAGAATTTAGCTAATACACTGCGTACAAAAATCGAATCAATCCATAGTCTTATATTAAAAGCATTTTGTTGATGAGAATCTTAGTCTTGATAGCATATGGTTAGGATTCCTTACTCCCATGCCACATTAACAACTGTTGTAAAAGCGCTTTACACTAGGCTTGGCTAATTTCTTTTATAGGAAAATTTTAGAAATTCTGATATTGGGACCCTTAGGGATATGCAAATCAATGTTCCTTCAGGCAGAACATATAATATTTTTAATTATTGCCGTTCACAAATATTGCGAAATTTTATGCAAACCAACTTTTTGGATTGTCCAATGATTAATCAAGAATTTAGCTGAGTTATGAATCATCAGACTGGTTAAATAGACTTAGTAGATATTCAGAGATTGAGAGGCTTTTACAGCACAGTGTTGAGAGAGTAAAAGAGATGCCTAGGGAATACTTATATAAATTTAAGTCACCCAAAATAAATAATTTAACAACTTTCTTTTGAAGTCATATAGCAGTCACATTTGAAGTAAGATGTGCATAACCAGGTGGACATTTGTCGGCCTAGGATAAATGGACTTTAGGTGACATAGTCTTAAAGATTTTGCCATTAAATAAAGAAAGATTAAGCCCTCTTAACATAGAGTTTTCTAGAGTTTCACTTGAATCTTAACTTGTTTAGTCATTTAGCCTTTCTTATAAGAGCCTAGAAGCATATAACTTATCAATAAAGTTAATCACCTGCTTTCGAATTAATATATTGTTTTTTGCTTATTGTAAGTGGGACGTAATCTTTTCCTTCTTAAGCTTCTGCTCAAAATATAGAAGCAGAGGATGCACTGACATGAAAAAATCCGATATCAAACCCCCCAGTGGATCAAAGTAAGTCCATTAAAATTTGGTCAAATAAATTTGTATTTACTTTATGTACTTTAGTTTTAGTTAGAGCCTTTTTCTCTGTTCACTGTTCAAAAAAGTCTGGTAAAGGGTGATAATTTGTTATATGAATTATTGAAGCTTATTCAGTAGAACGGAGAAGTATTGGTGTATACCTGTCGGATTTCATTAATTTTGTTTCCACCTCGACCAATTATGCAACCAATTAGCTCATTTGGCACAACCATTTCATGTTTGTGTTCCATCAGTCCAATAGCTGTGCTACTTTCTGGCATAAATGGCGTAACCGACTGTGCACTACTATTGCTGGTACCACTTGCGGTAGCACTCTCCGTAATCATGCCTTGGGAACCCATATGAAGCACATCGGAAATAATTGGCGCACCTACTGAGAGAGGTGATTGAGCATCTAAATTAATTGGCGATACTTGTGTTGAGGCTTTGGCATTGCTTTCCTCTGATTGCAGAAGGCAGGGTGGAGATGAACTTTGCTTGCTATGGTAACCATAACTGTTATTTGTGGGTATATGTCCGTGAGCAGATGTCAATTTTTTGCCTAAGCCAGTCTCT